CAGTGAGAAGGTGGCTGACTTCCAGTGAGGAAGAGAGTTCTCACCAGGAACTCAGTCAATTGGAACCTTTGTCTTGGTCTTTAATTTTCCAGAACGATGAGAAATTAAGTTCCTGTGGTTTGACGCCCTGCACACATGCTTGTTATGGTAGCCTGAGCAGACTAATACGGTCTCGTAGACACTAATTATTCAAATTGTAGAATAAAAGCGTGAACTCTGGAGCCAGACCTCCTGGGTTTGAAGTCACTGCTCCACCACTTTCTGGCCCTGTGACTTTAGGCAAGTTACATAATCTCTCTGTACCTACTGGGAGAAATCATCGTACCTCCTTCACGAGGATATTGTGAGGATCGATTTGTTAATCCCATAAAGCGTGGTTCGTGGCTCTATCCAGTACATGCTAGCTAAGTGTGTGACCCATAAATAAGAAGCCCATTAATCTCCCACAGCAGCTGCCTAAGTATTGGGAGTTTATTCGTGGGAGCTAGGGACACATACAACCTCTGAAGACAGGAAGTCAGGAAAGCTGGCAGGCCAAAATCGCAGGGAAGCCACCACCAACCTTTCAGCCCTGGAGTGGGTGATTCTCAGGGGAAACCAGAAATCCCTGCGAAGGCTGCAGCATCCGCGCTCCTGGGGAACAGGGGCCTCTCCTGGCCTTTGCCTATCCTTCATTTCGCTGAAGCCCTGTGCACAGAGGAGGCTGAGAAGGGAGATCCGGACTGTAGGCAACCTCTGGGAGTGCTCAGGCCGTCAGAGGCCGCCACAGGGTTGAGCTGACATTATCTTCATGTGTGCTTTGCCTTCATTTGCAATTCAAACACTGAAAAGGCCCTCAGAGATTTTCTGTCCACAGCTGTATTATAAATTCCTTGATGGAAAGGAGACTGTGTCTCGTCATTCTTTTACTATCCTCTTGGGCCTGAATATAATTTCACTTACATAATGCACCATGAACGCTCAAGAAATACTTTACTTACTGAAACAAATTAAAAACCTTTATTACAAAAGTGACTCTGCAATGCGGTTCACACAACAAAGGACCACACCCTGAAATTCTTTTAGAGGACAGTTGCATTTAAAAGACATCTGCTTGGGCTGGGAGTGTGACTCAGTGGTAAGAGGACATCTTGGGGAGGTCCAAACCCCATTCCGGTGAAGCACAGGGATGAAGGGCACTCACAGAGGGCCTCCCTGGGAAGGCAACATCAGCTGTGGGCCAGTCTGACTGCGACCGCACACCCACATCTCCTCGTGAGAAAACACCTGCCGAGCCCCCAACAGTGGGGAAACCGTGTTTCAGAAATATCCATAAAAAGTATAGAAGTGTTCTAGGTTAAAGGAGCTGACAGAGACACAACAAAATGCCATACCCTCAACTGATCCCACCGGAAGGGGGAAAAGTCTATAAAAAAACATTATTGAGTTAACTGGCAAATTACAATTAATACATGGCACTGTTCTTTAAGATGCTTTTGGCCTAAGAGTTTTTCTGAAATCTGGGGCCCAGGCGCCTTTCTGTGAGGAGGACCCTGGGCACTTACTGAGGTCCCCTGTTACTGTTTCAGTGTCTCCCCCACACATATTGTCAGAAGTTTTCTTCTTGTATTCTTTGCTCATCTTCTGTCTCCTGCACCAGGAGAGAGGACGAGGGAGCACAGAGGCCCTGCCTGTCTGGCTCACCTAACCCCCAGTGTCCGGCTGCAGTGTGTGCTAGGAGATCAGTTATGGGCCGAAGAGCATCAGGGAGGAACTTGGCCTTCTGGGAATGGAGAGGAGGCAGGCAGGGTGCAAGCAGGGCAGTGTGCTGCCAGCAGGTAGAGAAGCGTCTTGTGGGGCTTACGGACCCCTTAAGTGATTTTGGGTCTGAAAATGGACTTCCTGCACAGCCCTTGGCTTCCTCGTCTAACCAGCATCGTGTCCTCTTCATGCCTGTGTGGTTCTCACACGGAATGGGATGCGTGCTTCTCTGGCCTCTCGTGTCAACGCACATCTCAACTGCAAGGCTTGTGTTGGGTCATCAGCCTGGTCCCAAGGCCATCTATTGCACAGACACGATCCTGTGTGACCTGTGTCGTCTGACCTCCATCACGTCCAGGGCACACCCACGTGGCTGCTCACTGGGCTTCACTGTGCAGACAGTAGGCAAATAACGAGGAACAACTCGTGCTTACAGCCAACCACTCCTAGCCACGCCCTGAGCCAGGGATGCGGGTTCCAGGTCGCATGGCCTCCTCTATAAATTGATTCCTCGGCACCTAAAATGAGGAGAGCTGTCTCATCCACCTCCTCCTCAGCTCTCCACATTAAAGACGTTGAGTTATTCAGAACTGGAACCCTTTTCTCCAGGTGAGGATCGACAGAGTTAACTGCACAAGAAACACATGCATTTTTTTTCGTTATCAGTAGACCTCCCTTCTTCTACTGAATGATAGTCTACTATGAATTCAAAACTGATGCTTGGTTCTAAATTGCACAGGCAAAACAAAGCAGTTAAATCATAGCTTAGCTCAGTTTCTAAGAGAACCTCTCAGAGAGGCAGCTGCCTGTCAGGGAGCAGAAATATAAAAGATTTGGGGGTTAAATTACCTGCCGGGGATAACATGGACGGTCCGACACCTGTGAAGGAAAGAAGGGAGGAAGGAAAAAAGAAAAGGGAAGAGGAAAAGAGAGGGAAGAAAGGAAAGGAAAGAAGGAAAAGGAAGGAAAAAAGGGGGAGGAAAAGGAAGGCCGGAGACCGCTGTGTAATTCTGAGAACGTCTTGGCGAGTTCCAACGAGAGCCCTGGAGTCTGCCTTACGCTAGGTGAATCTCTGTGCTCCAGGAATGACCGACCGTCCTGGGTATCTTGCAAACTCGTGATTTTTTGGTTTTTTTCTCTTTCCTTTCTACATGAGAACTCTCACCTTTTCACTTAAGGGAAGCGCTTGGGGGCTTTTCTTTAGCAACCTCAAATTGCCAGCACCACTACTCCTGCGCTTAGGGGGCCATTATGAAGAAAGACAAGGGTTGTTGAATGAAGCACTGATACAGCAGCAGTTGATCTGATAACCAAGAATGGGTGGGCGGCAGGGACAGGATGGTGCGAGACTGCACCACGCGGCTCAGAGTGGCGGGCTGCGCGAGGTCTATGAATTGTTTCTGGAATCTTCCACTTCACATTTGCAGACCATAGTTGGCCACGTGACTGAAGCCATAAAAGTGAAACTGCAGATAGAAATGGGCTACTGTATTTACAAGAAAGGATGTACTAGGACAAGAAAGCCAAATTTGAAAGTAGGATTCTGCCGTTTGTATTTCTTTTTTGTTACTGAAGTTCAAATTTTGAAGAATAGCAAAGATAAATTTTCAACAAACATTAACTCACAATCAGAAAACAGAAAGCACATGAGGAAACAAGCTATGACAAGTGATAGCAGAACTATCCGATAATAGAGCCACGATCAGAGACTAAAGGCATTTAACTTTCCATATTTGGAACATAAAAGAATTAAACATGATTTGCTTAAGTAAATAAAATTATCAGATATGTGACAATAACCAAACATTTTATTTTATTTTGTTTTGTTTTTGAGACAGTCTGGCTGTGTAGTTCAGGCTAGTCTTAATTCACTATGTAGCCTAGGCTGGCCTTGAATTCACAGGATCCTCCTGCTTCAGGCTCCCAAGCAAGAGCTGGGATTACAGGCAGGCACCACCATGCCCCATTTAACTGGGCATTTTAAAAAGTTAAACAGAAGTTCTAGAAATGAAAGTTTAATTGTTTTTTCTTTTTGTACTGGGGATCGAACTCTCCGGTCCTTGTACTTTTGAGCACTTAGCTAAATCCCCAGCCCTGCATTACTTCTTTTTTTTTGTACCCTAGATCAAACTCAGGCCCTTGCACTTACTTGCAAGGCAGGTGGTGGAACCATTGAGCCAAATCCCCTGCCCCCTTCATTACTTAATAGAGGGCAAGGAGAGGGCAAAAGAGGGCAAGAGAGCGAGCTTGCAGCTTCAAGCCCTTTTGTGATCGTGGTATGGTTTAGATCTAGGGGCTCAGCTGGTAGGGCAGAGGACCGTAGACTCGACAGACCTAGGGTGTTCCCCAAAGACTCTTGTGTTTGGAAGGTGACTAGATCCTGCTGGGCGCCATACTCGCTAGCAGATCACTGATGAGTTTGTAGCTTGCTAGCTGTTTGGAGCTGGGGCCTGCTTAGAGGCGGCCTGGGTGCTGACCTGCAAGAGACCAGCTCCTCCCTTCTCTCTCTGCCTCCTGGCCACCATGAGGCGAGCAGCTTTCCTCTGCCAGACCCTTCCTCCATGTCCTTCTTGCCTTGGAGCCAGCCAACCATGGACTGACTGAATCCCCTAAAACTGAGCGAATATGAACTGCTCCTTCTTTAAGTTTGGGTGTCGGGTATCATGTTCCAGTGACAGGAAATGACTGAAACACGTAGGCATTAATCTGTGCAAAAGAGTGGCGTGCTCACGACCTACACAGCTCCCAACTGTCTCCCTCCTAACAGGGCTGAATCAGAGAATGAGTCCTTGAGCCGGGCGCGGTGGCGCACGCCTGTAATCCTAGCACTCGGAGGCTGAGGCAGGAGGATCTTGAGTTCGAGACCAGCCTGAGCTACATAGTTCCAGGTCAGTCTCAACTACACAGTGAGACCCTGCCTCAAAAACAAACAAACAAACAAAAACAAACAGAGAATGAGTCCTCAACACCCGTGACGACGCATTCAAGCCACAATAGCCCCCATGTCCTGCGGGTTTGTTAAAGCCTTGTAACAAAATTTTGCTTAAAAATTATAATTGATGTCTTCTTTTTAGTAGTGGTGCTCCATTTTTCTATATAATGTATATTATAATATTATATTTTAATAAATGTTATAATATATAATCTCATAACATGTAAAAACTATCCCCAAAATGTAGTTGTTTAAAGCAGCAGCCAATTATTTGTTCAGAACTCTTTAAATTAGCAATTTGTATTTTTTTTTTCTGGTACCAGGGATTGAACTCAGGACCTAGCACTTGCCAGGCAGGCACTGTGCCACGAGCTACAGCCCCAGCCCCTGTAAATTAGCAATTTGAAGTCTGCGCTCGCTTGGAGTCAGCTGAGCTCGCAGTAAGTAGGGGTCTCCCCCTGGAGAGGCTGGGCCGACCGGAATGGCTCTTTATCCCCTTGGAAGCCATGGGACTGGCAGGGTCTCGGGCAGTGGAAGAGGCCAAGCCTTTGTGCGCAGGTGTTGCGAGCCCTCATTCCGCCTGTCCTTGCTAATGTCCCATTAGGGTTAGAAAGAATTGACAGCCGTGTGTTACTACCAAGAAGAAAGCGGAAAAAAATAAAAATTAAATTGAAAAAAAGAAGATAGTGGAGCAGGGGTGTGGGGGAAAAACGAGAACCAAGAGCTGTCCTGTGAAGGTACAAGATCCCAATGATGAGTGTAACTGTACTGTGTACCTGAAATGGACCAATAAACTCAGTGAGGAAAGAAAAAAAAGAAAGTGGAAAACGGATGGGCAGAAATGTGCGTGGGCAACTCAGAGAGCAGGCTCAGGGCTGGGCGGGTCCACTCACGCCTCGCCAAACCCCTACTGAAAACACCGCCAGGGACCCACAGAGCCCACTCTTTGCTTGTGGGATGTCCTTGGAACCACACCGGGGGTGCTCTGCCTCTCCTGATCTGTGTTGGTGTCGCCATTTACAACGTACAAAGTAGTTTACGCTGGCCCAGGCCAGGCATCACGAACAGTTACTACTGAGGAGGCAAACAACAAAACAGCACTAGAGCTGTCTTTTCATTGGGTTCCAGTTTTCGTACAACTTCACTGTTTCCACCCCCAGGCCAAGACCAGAGTTAAGCTTAACCATCTACCCTGCCTGCTACAGAGAAAAAGTAAAGCAACTTCTACACATCTTTTCTCAGTTCCCTTTGGGTGCTAACGAAGTACTTTTCCTTTCTGTCTGTCCTTAAGTCTGACCTTTCAGTCAAAGCAAAAACTCCATTCTTTGTTTCCCCTCCCTTGTACTGGGGATCAAACTCTGGACCTTACACTTGCCAGGCAGGCATAGCGCCAGTAAGCTACACCCCTGTCTAAAAACTCCATACTCCATGATCAAGTCAACACCTACCCAGTTTAAAGCTGATTTTTCAAAGTGTCTTAAGTCGAGTTCCCTTTTTCTAGAAAACCAAAACCAGGCGTATCTCCCCTAATCTGTTCCTGATTTAAAACTCTTGCATCCATTAAGAGAACAGGATTTCTCTAAAAGTTACAAATGATATTTGTTTCCTCTTCTCTTCTCTCACCAGCCCATCTCAGTATCACAAAGCTAATATGATCTTTTTCTCAGAAGCTGTCATCTTCCCTGTCGAGCATATCATAACGCCTACCATACTCAGGAGTATATTCCCAGAACCATTGCCAATTTTCAAATAGAATTGCAAAGTATATGGATCTTCTTTTTGCTTTTTGTTTCTTATAAAATTTTTATCCAAAACTTATCCTCATAAAAAAATTTAAAAACATTCTCATGCAGAATTCCTTTTTTTTTGTGCTGTTCAGTTTATTAAAAACTCTACAGGTTATATTATATATGTGTGTAGGTGCTGTCTAAACTGACCTATTTTTATTCTTCCTTAAGTCCATCATTATAAATATTCCCATTTTCAAAGTCTCCATGATAACTATTTCTGATAGAAAAAAAACTTTTTTATTCACAAAATTGGACAAAACCTAGCCATACTGAGACGATGTTTAATAAGGAAATAAGGGCAACTCTTTTTTCTTTTTTGGTACTGGGGATCGAACTCGGGTCCTTGCGCTTTCGAGGTAGGCAGTGGAACCACTGAGCCAAATCCCCAGTCGGAGGGCAACTCCTAACAAGCAAGGAAGAAGAAAACAATTTTTGAAAATTCATGGAGTAGAAAGATTTTGCAACATTCTACTTATTTTCCACCTACCTTTCCCTACCTTTTAACTTTATCAAAATCTCAGAGTTGTTTACAGATTTCTGGAACCCTGCTACTCTTCGCTTGTTTGTGTGATACAGCTCCTCATTTTCAAAGTAGACAACACTTTCGGGACTACGTGCGTGCACTTTCCCGAGTTCAGTAGCCAGCGGTTTTGTTGGTCGTTGGAGAAAAACTAGAACATGAAGCAGCTAGCTCTGCCATTCTCTTTCTGCTGAACGTGGGAGAGAATGTGGTAGGTGTCACAAAATACGCTGTCAAGAGATGTGCTTTGGCAGACTTCGTGGCGGGCCACAGGCCGTGCTCGGGGGTGGGTAACATCTGGCTTGCTGTACTGGGCTCCACTAGGAGCTGCTCTCTTCTTTTGGAACAACTTCAGGTACTGAAGACGATAAAGGGTACCTGTTGTCACCTCTTCCACCAGGCTTCTGTTCAAGCCTTCCCTGCCTGCTGCTGCCAGTACCGCAGCCTTCCGGAGCTCCCGGTGTGATTACACAAGGGCAGCTGTACTGGGCAGGAATCGGTTCTCTTGGCTCCCTGGGATCTGAATGAAGCCTACAAGTTTGGGAGGGGCTTGGAATAGTGTTTGTTCCTGGGTACAGAGAACTCACTGGGACCGATCCAAGGGATAGGGAAGAGAATGGTAGGGCGAGGTGGGGAGAGGAGGGAACCGATAGCGGACAGGAAATGAGAGATACAAGTTAGCAAAAGGAGTGAGACTGCTTTAGGAAAACAGTGGCCCAAAAGTGCACCTAGTGTCTTACTGTGGTCTTTTTTCCCTTTGTACGGTCTCTTCATCTCCTCTTTCTTCTCTTTTTACTCCTGGTAGCTACTCCCTCACAGTGTCTTTTCTTTATTGAACTTCCTTGAGCTTATTCAAGAATATAATTACGTTCTTCAAGACATGCTTCTGAGACATGAGACCAGGGTGTGGCAAAACTGACTGGGGAAATAGGTGTGACCTGCTAATTAATTACAGGACCCTGGAGCACAGGCGAGAGCAGTTCCCAAACTTCTCAGGAGAACTCCAGCAGGTTTTCAGCAGGATGCCAGACCTAACCTCAGTTTGAGGCGTGGGATCCTGGCACCGCCTCTCAGGACCCGGATGGAGAACTTCTCACGGGTTTCCTTGAGATTTGAATAGTGTAAAAGGACAGTTGCAAGAGGTGCTCAGCATTATGGCTTTTATCATGGCGGCCCGCCCTGTGTCCTCCAAGGTGTACTTTTATCTTGCTTTTTCCTCTTTTTCTCAGCCCAAGCTTGCTCTGCAGAGCCAGTTTCTCCCTCACTCTCCACTTTTACTTTTTCAAATAAACTTTGTCACTGTTTTTTTTTTTTTACTTGTCTGTTTTGCACGCTTCATTTAACTCTTTCTTCCATATGAGAAAAACCTGGAAACCAATTCCAAAAGGAGACGCAAGCAACCCAAAATCTGCTAACATCTGTTTGGCAAAAGCCATCTTTAAAAGGAGACTACCTGTTAACACTTCTATGGATTTTCTCTGAAAAATACTGGGATGGAAAGAGTAGTAATTAAGAGATAAGTGGTGTTTATAAGTTAATATTATATATGTATATCTAATTTATAATTCAATTTAACATTTGCAACTGAACTTAGAAATTGAAGACATTTGAGTCTTAAATTTTCTTCCCTAAAGGTTTACTCACAAAGGGCCTGTGTTGTTAGTGAGATGACGGAAAGTCAACACAAGAAGAGACAGTTATAGGTGCTCAGCTGTCCGAGTGGCACCCTAATCTTTCTGTAAGAACATTCCATTGTGTGTAATTTAGCGGGGGATTAGCTGCTTTCTCTTAGAGGAACTGAGGATGAAGGGTGAGGATTTAGCAGGAAGAACTGAGCCTCATTTAGGTTTGGTTAAGTGGACACTCTAGAACTTTGAATTTTGAACTAGTGAAGCAGTTATGAGACATAACACTTAGAAATGATGAAATGCTGTTACTGTCTCACAAATTGTGCTAAGAAGTTGTTCCCTGACCCTGAACAGCAACTTCATTCTTGTTCTTGGTCCAAGTTCAGTCCTTGTAGCTTTCCAGGAATTCTGTAAACATTCCCAGTAAATTCCATTTTACTTAATAGAGCCAGAGTTAGTTTTTGGCATTTCCAACAATAACAGAAATTCTAACTGAAATACAAATTCTTCTTTTTTGTCGTTTGTTTATTTGTTTGTTTTTGAGACAGGTTCTCACTATGTAGTTGAGACTGACCTGGAACTCACTATTTAGCCCAGGCTGGTCTCGAACTCACAGCAATCCTCCTGCCTCAGCCTCCAGAGTGGTGGGATTACAGATGTGTGCCACCACACTGGTTTACAAATTCTTACTTCTGAATCCATTACAAAAATAAAAAATAGCATCCTGGCCATATTGTCAGTTTGCTCAAAGATAAGAGCAGCAGAGAGTTCCCTCACATGGCTGTATGGATCATTCGTTGCTCTTGGTACATTGTAGGAATGGTTAATATTTTTAATCTGGTTTCAGAGTTAAAAGTAAAAAATCAGAAAAAATGGTCTCACTAGCTAAGTGCAACTATTGTGAAAATTATTTGCAAAATTATCCCAAAATTGTATCCAGCTGTCTGTCTGTCTAAACATGAATAGGGTGAAAGTTCTTTGCTGCTCTTTCATTGGCTATTTACTGCTTGTCTTTTTCCATTTATAGCCAGTTCTGTGTGCAACCGATTTTCATCATTGTTGTGGTCTGTCAGTTCATCCACAGAAATTTCTACAATATTATCTAGTAAACTCTGACATTTTATTGTTTGTTCAGTTTGGAGGAGAAAAAACTATGAATATATTCAGGTTATTACATCTTAACTTTTACATCTTATTTTTAATGGTGGGTGATAAACGACTAAGACACCCAGTGCAATAGGCAGATTTTTGAAGCTAGAAAGAAAAACAAAAACAAGTTGTAGGTCCTCTTTCTACTAGCTGTGTGACTTGAGACATTTTATGTGATCTCTCTGTGTCTTAGATTCCCCATATCCACAAAGAGGTTAAGAATATCTGCCTTCTAGAACAAAACCCAGACTGCACAGGAAATATTATAAAGAATCAGCTGGGCATGGTGACGCACACCTGTAATCCCAGCACTCAGAAGGCTGAGGCTGGAGGATCACTGTGAGTTTGAGACC